TGGCCGGGCCGGGGCTTTTGGGGGATGTGTGAGTGGCGCAAGGGCGAGCCCGGGGCCTGCCCGGGCGGGGCTGCCGCTCCCGGGCGGAACCTCCCCGTCCTTCTGCTCCCCCGTGGCCTGGGGGTGCGATGTGAAGGGAGCTGCGACTCCCGCATTCCCGCCCTAGGCCGTTCGGGACCCCTTCGTGTCCAGGCGTGGGCCCTCCCCAGCAGCTTCCCTGCTTGCCTCTCTCTCTTCATCCTTCTGCACGCCTGCAGCCAGAAGCCGTGAAGCCGAACGGCCGCTAACCTCACAACGTTCCGTGGCGGATTTGGGAGCAGCAGGAGGAGAATAAGTGCTGTTTAGCGCTGAATGAGAAAGAAAATACCCCAGTGCTCTTTGTTGAGTTGTATTTGGAAGCCTGCAGTGTAAAAAAGTGTATATAGCCTATCCTTACAGAAAATTTACCCCAGCTGAGGTGGTTATTTGTTTAACTCTTAAATGGAATAATATATGTAAAATGTTAGGTGTGACTCCCAGGTGCAGTGCTTGGCTATCAGTAGTAACAGGCCACATTTTGTGGTTTTACGAGGTATCTATAATCTCAGTGCAATGCAGGAGTAGTCAGGTTGAAGGCCTGTAGTTGGGCAGATTCTAATGACAGAGCTCATGTCTGGAAGGCTAATTTTTGTTATTGTTGCTTAAAACGGCTTTCAAGAGGCTTCAGGTTTGGAACTCATTAAATATTTCATTTAATAGCATTCTTGTGGCACCCTTTTCAGTGTAACTGCACTTTTCTGTGAAGATAATTTCTATTGTGGAGGCACTGCAATTTTTTATTGTTATGTAGCCTCTTGTATTGGTGCTCTCTGTGGTTAATTTCTCAGTCTGGTAATTCCATGTCAAAGAGAAACTTGTTACTACTTGAGGGATTATTCTGCTCCTGCCTGTTGCCCTCTTTCTAGTTACTAAGTTTGTTATTGCAAAGGCAGAGGCTTCTAAATAGTTTAGTATAGCAGCAAGAGAATACCCTTTAAAATCATAGTGATTTTTATGAATGAGGACTTTGATAACAAGTCAGTGGAGTTTCCTTCTATAAGCTTTCCATTATACTAAAGGAAATATCTAAACACAGATCATTGGAAGAAATTGGCCTTTTAAGAGAGGAGAATGTCTCAATGAACATAATTCTGATTTTTAACTTACCTTCCAAAAGCTCAATTTCTGGATCAAAAGTGCTTTTGCAGCGATGTCTTTCACTTATTTGGACATTAATAATATGCCATTCACAGACAATGTCTCTAGTACATGGAAAATCTCAAGGGAAAAGAGCTGCATAGATTATATAGAGCATGTTAATAGAAAATGTTGTGGTATTTTCCATTTTATATGATTCACTTGTTCTCTTTAAGATCTGTTAATTTGAAATTATTTAGGATTACAGGATGAATAATTTGCCTTCTCAATGGTGTGAAGCACTTTATTCTTTTGTGTTTATCTTCTTTGTAAGTAAATGCACTTGGTAATATTGAAATCCCAGAAGAAAGTATCAGTGGACAAGCATTAATTACAAGAACTGTAGCTTCATTCATATTTTGCATCCAGTAAATGGTTTGATATTAACCATTCTGCTGTGTTGGTTGGACTGAAAAGCTACCGAAGTAATTGCTTCTTCCAGAGCAGTTGTCTTCTCCCTAAATTAGGAAAGCTATCTCAAAATGTTGAAGCATGCTGGTAGTGTAACCAAAAATCTACAAAGATCTTTGTTTCAGCCTGTGTGTTTTGTTGGTTTTTTTTAATGTGGGCAGGTTCAATAAGGTTCCTGTGTTTAATATGTGTTTCATGACTAAGCTCTGTTTTCAGAGTCACATCTTTCAGACTGAAGTTTTCCCTCTTGCATAAATCAGAATTACTTTACTGAAGTCTTCAACAAACACGGGTGTGGTAATCTTGGCCCTGCGTCACCTAAAACAAAACAATAATGCTGTGATCCCAGAACTGCACAATGTTAGAATGAAAGGAACTGAAAGAAGGCATTATGTCCATGCTTCAACTCCAAAGAACAATTTACTTTGCCAAAAAAGGCAAAAGTATTTTGCAAAGGAATTTTGTCTTTGTATTGTGTATTAAAGATAAATTTTATTGTTGTATTGGGTTTTTTTAAGTATCACACACAAGATTACTGTGGTTGGAAAGGACCTTTAAGATCATTGATTCCAACCATTATCTATCTTTACCAGGCCACTTCTACACCATATCCCTGAGCACCCTATGTAGATAGCATTTAAATAAATCCAGGGATGGTGATTCAACCATTTCAGATACGTGTTTTCAAATATGAAATTCCTCTGCTAACTTCTACTGAAGTTCTACTACAGTTGTCTGAAAAATTAATTTGAAATAACAAGAAAGGCCAAACTGTCAAGTTTTCTTTTATGTAGCAAGTTGATCACAGTCTTCTGTGGACTTTTAGCTCCTGTTTGCCCAAACTGTGTTTTACCCCACCCATTTTACTTTCCATAATCCAGTTTGGAAGTTACATTTATGAAGTCTGTTATGAATTAAATTTTATTTAAGGTTTTGTTTTTATCACTAGAATCACTAGATATGCTAGTGCCTAGATCACTAGTGCTAGATCACTAGAAATGGTGTGCCTGTTCAAGAAGTTTACAGCTTTTTATTTTCCTGGTAGAATACCAAAAATAGCAGGAAACTGTGCATTCAGAATGATGCTCTAATTTATCTGTAACCAGTTAAAATGCAGTGTGAATTACTTCTAAAGAGGTTATTGAGTTAATGGTGTGTTGAGGAAGTCTGTTACTCAGAGTTTTCCTTTCTTTTTTTTCAGTGTCATCTGCCGGGGTCTAGCAAATAGCAGCTATGGAGTAAGAAGAAAATCATCACTTCAAAACTTGCATCTTGTTTCCCGGAGTATACGCCATCCCTCCTATCCAGGTTCCAGATGTCAGAGGCCTCCCTTGAGGATATCCATTCAGCTGTTCTCTTCCCTGAGTCGTCTTCCCCTGCGCAAAACAAAACTTTTAAATGTCAAATATGGATACCAGTTCCACAGAAACTTTTGGCTAGCTAGGCTAGCATCAAGGCTACTCAAAATTCGCTATCTTATATTGGGATCTGCTGTAGGTGGTGGTTATACAGCTAAGAAGGTATTTATCTCTGCAGGCTATTCTATGTATTTTGTCTTTGCTATTGTTATATACATGAGAACAATAGTTCTTGGTATATCCACAAAAATACAATGTTTTATTTTTTGGTTAACTAATGACAGTAAATGTGAGTATGGCAAACAGATTGTTTAGAGCACTGGTGTGGATTTTAAAAGATCCAAATAATATCTAAAAGATGGTGGGTTAGCATGTTTTATACATACTACTTTTCAATAGATTGGTCATATGCCTCTCTACATGCACTTCTTTTCTGTTTCTACTATTTTTTTTCTTTTTTGTATTAGACATATGATCAGTGGAAGGAGATGTTGCCAGACCTCGATGAATATAAGTGGATTGTTCCTGACTTCATTTGGGAGCTTGATGAACATATTGACTTCGGTATCACAAAAGCTAAAACTTCACTCTATTTACACACTTAAATATGAGAGGATAGGTCCTCAGTGCCTCTCTCCAGTAGTATCTCTATAGCTGTAACTTGAATGAACTTGTATTGTTAGAGTTCAGCGTTTGTGTCTTACCAAGGTATTTGTATCGGTGTGTTTGTAGGAAGAAATGAAGCATTGTTTAGTACTGATAGTCCATAATATATCCTTTCATTTGAGTATGTTCTTGGTCCTTTCATATGGCCATCCAATCCCATTATTGAAAGGAAAGTTGCAGCATGATCAAGGGGACTTACACAATTTGGTTATTATTATATGCAAAGTTCTTTCTTTCTGTATGAATGACATTTAAAACTAAAATATTAGATAAGCAGAAGACATGTATGAGTAAAAGACCAATTGAAATTGAAAATTCAGATTAGTGAACCTACCTATCTACAAAATTACCTTGAAGATATAGAAGGAAAGAAAATTTAAAATACAGATTGTTTTCATGAATCTTCTGGTTACAGTAGACTTTCTGCATATTTTCAGGTGAAAGAGATCTAAAAATCAAGCAGGTTACTTCTTATATATGCTGGGTAGTAAGGTGGTGTTCTTTTTAAAACAAGGAGTTCATGAAGATTTTACTACATGTTTGGGCATTGCACAGATAAATGCAGAGACTGAGTAACTGAGATGTGTTTTCTTTATTGCTAGTGGACACTACATTTTTATGGTGCTTTAAAGCTAATTTTCTATTTTTCAAGGGTTACAAAATTGGCTTATTTATGAAATTGAGGGATTTTTTTGAATGTACAAGAGATGAGTATAGTTACAGTGACATGTGATTTTGAAACATCCTCTACAAAGTGAGTGAGTGATGTATGAAATGCAGCACTAAATTTTAGAGTTTTAAAGTACCTGAGGCAACCAGCTTATCAGAAAGTTCAAAGTCTAAAAAAAGCAATTGGTTTTTCAGGTCTGATAATCTTTTTCAACACTAATGGGGGGAGGTGCATGTGGAAAGAAACTTTTTAATTATTTACTATTTTTTTTACAAATTCAAAAAGCTGTGTCCTGAAACAGTTGCTAGGTTTTAGAGCCTAAGCCATTTTTGTTCACAAAATAATAGGAAAAAAACCCTTCTCATTAGCTGTTGTACTGTTTCCCTAGAAAAAATTATCAAAGCCCTTCCCGATGCAGATGACCTTGCCAAACTTCTGCCTGATTTTGACAAGATTGGAGAGAGCTTCACTGCACTGAAAGGATATTTTTCTCCTGGTGAGAGCAATTTTTCAGATTACGTTTTCAAAATTAAAACTAAAATACTACAAAATGAGGTTACAGGTATGTCCTAAACACTGAAAGAAAGTGGACCCTGAAAATGCATGACTTCTCATTGTCTCTTCTGAAAGTGGTGTGGACACAGGTAAGTGTAATGTATTTTTAAAAGCAAGAATTCTAGTAGCAAGTATAGAGAACCAAAATGTGAAATTGAATAGAAAACTTGTGCAACTCTTAAAAAAACAGATTAGATTACTTCAGTGAGTCATATAAGGTGCATATGTCCAGCTGGAATTTGGAGAAGGTGAGAGTGGTACTGGAGAGAATCAATACCCTGGCTGTTACAGGAGAAAGAGGTGGGCTATTGAGAGTGATGAGTCTTAATGTTGCAAGCATGTGAAATAAGACACTTGTAGTGAAGATATTCTTTTGAGTTGAATGATATTTTCCATCTGAACACAGCTCTAGAAGGACTTGCATGTAGATTTAACTTAGGTAGGGGCTGTATTTCAAAGGAGTAGGTAGGAGTTCTAAATCTTTTACAGCAGGCAAGGGGATGGTTTGTTGATGCAGTGTGTCCTGATGCAGTAATAGGCATAATGGTTTTCAGTTTTTGGGAAACTTAAGTAAGACATTTCTGATAAGTGAGTTTTTTTAAAACTAAAAAGGATTGATTTGATCATCATCTAACTTGCTGATGAGCATAGCTTGAAACTTCACCCAGTCATTCCTGTAGTAAAGTGCAAGATTTTTCCTTCCTATGATATACCTTAATTATCAAACCACATAGATTTCTAATCATGGAAGGTTATATCTTTGATGTGTTATAGTCAATGCTTTAAGTGTTTGCAAATGTATCGGTGTGCATAAAAAGTGTATTTTCTTTGTCTTAAAATACTTCCAATGGTGGAACTGGTTTATTAATCTTAGAAACTCGGTGAGAAGCTAAACAGGGGTCAAGTTCAACAGAGGGACGAGTAGATTACAATCTCCTATGTATTTTGGCTGTTTAAAATTGTGCTGTTATTGACTGGTATTGCGAGATGTCACCTATTATTTGTTATCATACTCAGGCATAATTGCCAGTTACAATTGTGTGATCCTCCAAATGAGACAAAGGTCCCTCATCTTTGTTTTGCACTTTGTTTTGTATTTATAATTTGTATTTCCCCTCTTCTGCTGATTTTTCACAGGTTACAATTTGGTTAGTGAAGTCATAGGAGCTTCTGATCTACTTCTGTTGTTAGGTGTGTAAAAGCCCTTTTTACTGCCCTTAACCTGCATCTGTAAAGCAAATTATTAAGACACTGCTACGCTAAGAAGAGTGACTATCAGTGTGAACACAACTAGTTACACCAATTTACTACTGAATTACAAAGACTTTCCAACTATTTTAAAAGTACTTAGAGCCGTCCCTGTGAAAACTGAGAGATGAATGGTTGTTATTTCTTTGCCACAGTCCTTAGCAGGTGCTTTGTATTTTGGGCGTTCTCCAGAAGTTTGTTTTGAAAAACTATGTTATTACAATAGGAAAGATTTTTAAAATTATTTTTTTTTGTCTCATTACAAATGCCATTGGTATTATTGTATTATCTTTTCATTTTTATCAGAAATAATAAATATTACAAGGTTTTCAGGACTTTGATAGTCTAACTGAAGCTGCCTGCTCCCTTGTCATGTAACTAATCCGAGTCATAAACTAGATATCAAATTTTCAGATGAGTTTTAAACTGAATTTCTTTTTCCATTTTTTAAGGTGAATCTTAATTTTTTTAAATAGGAACTTCAAAGATTATTAAGTTAATAATTCATAGGTCTTGAAAATGTCATTTTATAGTAGATATAGTTTGAGAATTTTTAAGTGCCTTTTTGCATGCTATAGTGAATTTCTGTAATTGTGTCCTAGGTTCCCCAGGAGAAACAGCATTCAGAGCTACTGACCAGGGATATGACAACGACAAACAGTACAAGAAGGTAATTACTCTCTTGCAAAACTAAAAATGTCTTGATAACAGGAATTTTATTTAAGTGCTTTAGTACCTACTTGTAGACAATTATTTGAGGCATCTTGAATAGAATTTATCGTTGAAAATTACTTGACTATGCGTTGTTTGGTTTAATACATAAACAGTAAAATGATAATGAACATTTTGGTATACAAGGAGATACAAGGCAGTCATAAAAATCTTCAGGAATTGCTTTCCTTAATTTCAGGAAATTAATTTGTAGTAAGAGTGCAATTTTGGTTATTTTGTGTGCATTTGTGATTTTTTAAGGTATGTTCTGATTGGCACTTGAGCTTGTAGCTTATTACTGAAGTTGGTTTAGGCTTTTATAGTTATTTGCAAGCATTTCTGCTTGCAACCTTATTTCTGTTGACATTTTCACAGCTGTAGATTCAACTTAAGGATTTCTGCCTTAAAAAATTTCTATTTCTTGAAGCAGTCTGTCTTTTTACTTTATTTAGATAAAGCATACATCACATTTTTGTTACTATATTCTGGAAAAAAATGTTATTGTATTTTAAGAACTAAAAGTTTTAGTATTTTTTCCTTGATTTAAAGAAGATGATGTTTAATTTCTTTTGATTTCATGAATAGTAGATCTTCTTTCTATTAAATTTCTAAACTGTAATGTTGCTCACTCTTTAAAGGCTTTTCATTTTTCCTGTGACTTTTTAAAAATTCATTATAAAAATGGAAGGAAAACCATATGTATTGGGGAATTTGTAAATTATTATACATTTATTTGTGCAACCATCTGAACTGTAAGTGGGGCTTCTACATAAAAAACCATTTCTGTATATGCAGGCATGTATACATTTATTCTACATTAATTCTGCATGGCAATATATAGTGAAACCTGAGCAAAGCTCACTTTTTATAACTTTTTCCCTTTAGAACAGTGGTGGATTTCATCATGAGAATTAAATTAGCTTTTGGTTCCCCTTTGTCAGTAAACTGTCTATATATATATATATTGTTTTATTTTCCTTTGAGTGATTGCTTAGCACAGGTTTTGCTGTTTAAAACATAAAAGATAATCTACTATTGATTTGTGAAGAAGAGGCCATCTTACTTAGCTTATTGTCTTTGATAGCAAAATTAACTGAAATTTTTACTGAATAACAGTAATATCACTAATATAAATACTGTTGGGTTTTTTTTTGGATGCAGTGACAACTCCATTTTAATATTCCAACAAAACTTTGGCTGTAGTACAGAAAATGTGATCCCACAATAAAACAATATGACTTACAAAATTTAGTCTGATGTACTGATTTTTGCTATCAGAGTTATAGCTGATATGTTATGCTTAAAAACTGCTGGTTTGCTAATTAATATGATCAGTTCTGGCTATGATATTTCAAACAAGGCACATATGAATACCTAACAAAGCATAATCACTCTAGTTTATTGGCAAGCAAAATTATTATTTTCAAGGCAATGGGTTAGATGGCCTTTCATTCAGTCCTTTCGCTGCCAGCCAATAAGAATTGTGATCATATAAATTCATAAAGTGCTGTAGCATGGTATTAAGTGTGTCTGATCAGCTGGTTTGCTTTGTTTCATTGTGGAAAGATGAGTAACTGATAAAGAAATCTAGGAATTCTGATCTGGAGGAATGTTCTGGAGAACTCTTACTGGGCATGGTCCTCAAACAAGCCTCTCAAACCTTTCTGTAGAATGAATGAGAAACCAGTTAGTTTGCAAGATAACTTTGAGAGAGTGCACATTGTGCCAAACACCAAATCAGGCTATACTGTTTCTTTCCAACTAATGCCTTTATCCTGTAGACTCTAATTTATTATAAAAAGTATGAAGTTTTTTAAAAGTGAATGCAATTAAAACTCCTGGAGTGTTCTGATAAGTAATTTAAATAAATGTAGTTGGAATCTGTTTCTATTTGGATTAAGTAAGAAGTTTTGTTCATGGACAAAGAGGAGAGAAGATAACTAAAAGCTACAGTGTAGTAAAATATTTCATTGCACTGCATGAGTGGGACTAATTCAGGCTTCCACTTGAAATAGCAATGTTACCTTCTTAGAAAAGTATCTTGCACTATTGTCTGTCCCAAAAAAAATTTCAGAAGAGTTTCAGCTTCCTATTAATGCCAAAAAATTCCAAAGTTTAGTCCAGTTTTTAAAGTTTATAGTGATTATAGCTGTGATGAAGTGGGCATGAAAAAAATGTGACTCGAGTAATGGTTTGGGGCTTATAAGACAAATAATTCAAAACTATCACAGGGTCACCTTCAGTTGCTGTAGGAAGTGACACAGTAATTCTGCAGCTCTTCACTCCAGCTACTGCTGGCAAGTGGAAAAGAGGCTTTAGTAAAGAATATCATTTGACTTGGATATTTATTCTTTTTTTAAACATTTTCTTTGCTTAATTCTCTCTTGCAAGTTATGCAATTCACAGTTTTGTGTTTTAGGTATTCTGGATAAAATTGTGACAGTTATTCAGATACTTAGAAATTGATCTCTTTACCTTCCTCATCATTTGCAACCCTTTACATCCCGTAGCATTTAATGATTTTTCTTGCAGGGACTTTGGCTCAGCTTTTCTCATGAACCATCACACTGAAGTCAGTAGAAAATAGTGGAAAGAGTCAAGACATGCAAAAAGAGAGGGCTGTGGTTCCTCATGAAAATGGGAGACAAATACTTTAGTCATGAGGAACTTTGAGTTAGTCATACTCCGCTGAAGGACAGTATATTAACTTTTAATGTAAAATAATGTCTTTTTTTAAAAGCATCTGTGGTAACAGTGTTAGCACTTGTTTTCCTTATTTTTTCTTGTGCACCCAGATTCTCATGATGGCTTTACAGGATTTGTGCCACTGTGTTTGTCAGCTAATGTTATTCCCCTTTACACTTTTTCTTTGATAATAAAAATAATAATGTAACAGTTGGAAAGAACATTCTTTTAAATAATTACTTTTACAGTGGAATGATTGATTTGAGGTGGGGGATTAGGGAGGTGAAAACAGTGGTAGTGTCCAGTGGCAGAGAGATGGGAACATTTGTGTGTGTGTGTGTCCTGGTTCACACCAGCCTAAGTGTTAAGTAATTGCACATTATATAATTAGATTATGTGACATTAGGCATTTGTTACAGTTCCTGTTTAAAGGCTAAAAGGCCTTTATGGCAGGTTTTATTCAGTGTTTTTTCTTGTATTTTCTTGATCCAGAGCATAATGTTTAAAGGGACTGTGCCAGCACATATTGAAAGTTCAGTTGTTTGTGAAATGGCAAAATATTATTATTGCTCCTCTAATACAAAGTGTAGCCGTGAGGCAGTCTCTCCTTGCTGCTGTGTAGAAATGAAATCTTTTGTTTGGTCTGAGTTCTTGGCACAGTTCTAATGCATTTGCCATTCTGGCAACTGAGAAATTTATTAGATCTTAAAGTGATCCAGTAAAACAAAGATGTGAAGATTTTCTGTTCTTGAAATGTTACATGCATCATTATTCAAGACATGTTTTATATTTGGTCATTTGATTCAATCTTTCTTCTTTTATCCATTCTCCTCTGTGTTTTTTATCCTTATGTGTACATGCCTGTGTGTGTATTTCATGCAACAGATGTGTAGCTTGATGGTGGATATCCTGAATTCTCAGGCCAAAGTTCTCTTTCAGGGTTTGTTTTGATTCCTGAAATGCATCTTTGAAACCTTTTATTTCACTGAATTTTTTTAAAAAAGAAAATGTAGTATTTTTTTTAAAAAACTTTATTTAAATTGTTCATAAATACATTTGTCCACATTCTCTGAAATAAATTGTACATAAAGTTCCAGTGGGTGCTGGCATAATATCTGCAAACCAATTTTGAAAGACAGGTTATCATTACAAGAGTATTTGATGTGGAGGGAGAAGAGTCCTAAGCTTTGTGGAAATTCTGAATAAGTAAAGGAGTAAGCATTGAGTTGCAGGGATTTTGAAGTGATCAGGAAGGATTATGACAGGATGGATTTAAACTGCAATGTGTTATGGAAGTGGAAAGGGGGCCTTGTCTTTCCTTATGCTCTAGAAATGGTTTTGCTTCCCATAGTTCAAAAAACTTAAGTAGCAGGCAAAATATCTTTCTATAAACTTTCTAGCAACTGTATTGCTGGGAATAAAAACAAAATTAGAACTTTTGCTGATGAAGTTGGGCCTACTAGCTGTTGTGCACAACTTTGTGTAGAATATCCAAAGCATTCTCTACAAATACATGCATGGTTAAACTCTGAAAAATTGCTGGTACTTAAGAACTTCTTGTGTGAATAATTGAAATGAGAGCCTTTGAAAATATTTCAAAGCCAGAATAGTTGAGTTTTTTTTTTAAAATTTAGATGCTTAAAGTTGAATATAATTATAGAACCTAGCTAAATGTTTCTTGGTTTGTTCTAGCTGGATTTGTGAGGTGCGTGGGTGTGTTGGCTGTGTCCACTCCCAGCTAGCTAGCAAGAGATCTTGCCAGTGAAATTTCAGTTTTGTTTACACTGACCCATTCATACCTGTTTTTCATCTGTCTTTGTCATGCCCTTTGGTTTAACTTTGTTCTCCTTACACCACAAATTTTTCCTCTCCTTTTTATTATAAACTCATGGCAGGGCCTGCTTGGTGAACTCATTCTGTTACAACAACAAATCCAGCAGCATGAAGAGGAAGCACGCAGAGCCGCTGACCAATATAACATGGGCTCTTCCCAGCAGAAGCGAAAGGTGATGGCTTAAGGGTCCATGTCTACTGTAATCACACTAATCAAGTACTTCAGCCTTCTTCATTTCAGCTAGAAAAATCTAACTAATTAAATCATGGGCCCAGATGATTATGGCCAACTTCGCTGCAGATGTATAGTCCTGTTTCAGTTTAACCAAGTTGCATTTAAAGCATAATGTTAAAAACAGGTACTTTGTATTACCTGGAAATTGTATGTTCTCTGCCTCTATACGAACTGTTATTTAAAGTTTATACATAAAAAACACATTTAAAGGAAAGTATGTGAATAAAGGTCAAGTCTCTTTACTGTTGCTTTCTTATAATGGCTCTCTTTTGTAAGAGTATAGCTATTTACAAGCAGTGTGTCTCTGGGAACATTTTTTCCTGCTTTGTGCTGTTACCAATCTGAAAACTACAGCAGCTCCTTAGAAACAATTTTGCACAGGCAGTTAACTACTGCTGTTAATAACAGCCTCTACTATACATTGATCAAAGGTATTCCTTTGTCTGTTTTCCCTCTTAAGGCACTGTTTATACTGATACACTGTGTGTGTTGCACATTTGCACATCACTTTGCTTAACTTAAGCTTTGATTGTTATAGTCATTGTTATATGGTTGAGATTAATTGGAAATGCTTCCTAAATTGGCATATTTTAGTTGTCTAATCTGTTACAACCCAGAATTCTTAGCACATTGCTTTCTTGGTTGCCTCTATGCCCCTGCAAAATCTCTCTGGTTGCCCATATTTTTCAGCAGCTTGGGAATTGAACACTGGATACAGAACTTGATTTTCTGTACACCTAGATCTAAACTCCCATAGAAAGAAGAATACAGCAAATGTCAATGAAACATCTAGGCATAGCTACAAAGCTGCAATTGTCATGCTTTTTTAGTCCATCAGCAGAGGAAAACACTGTTCTGTGAAACTACAGTAGCATTATAAACTTAAATATTTTACTCTCTTGCCATATTTTTTAGAGTTACAATTCCTGGCCATTCTAAACTTTTCATCTTCCTGTAATACTTTGTTTTTTAAATGGTGAAAGGCATTTTTTCCTCATAGTTCATCTTTCAAACTCAGTTAATATTTTGACTGGATTTAAAATAACACTGATGTATTCTGCCATCAGTTGTGAATCTAGGTGTTGTATAACAATATAACAGAAATGCAATTATTTGAGGTTATTTTATCTCAATACATGCCCTACAAATGTCCTCACTTTCATTTCCTCCCAGACGTATATTTTAGTAGAAGAGCAAAGATGTCTTCAGTGGTTTAAATACTGTTTGTTCAGTTGCTCTTTGTTTTAATAAATCCTTCAGCCGCTGTTATATTCTATGCAGTGTGAGAGAGCTACAGTATGGAGTAGTATCTTGAAGTTTATAATAAAATGTTGTAAAATGAAGTTTATAATATATGAAGATGTAAAAATTTCTGGAAAGGCAATGCAATATTTGATATACATAAATGTATCAGCTTAATAAATTTAATCGAAGGGGGAAAAAAAGGCTTGATATTACATTTGTTTCTGATTGAAATTCTACCTTGTTGGTACTTTTTTGAAACTAATTCTGCAATTCCCAAGCTGTGAAATAGCTTTAAGGGCTATCTTTCTAAATGTTATTCTGTCCTCCAAGGCAGGTACTCTGTTCTCTGAGCGCTGAAAGTCAAACTGCCTCGCATATAAAAAGTTTTAGTTTAGCATTCAAGACTACTGTTCAGCATACCTGCCTAATGACAGGGAACGTGTCTTGTTTATCACACTAATCTTTTTGCTTGAAACAAATCAAAAGAGACAATAAACTCTTTTCTTTCGTATCTTGATATGAGGCTGTAAATTAAAGATTCCAATCATTGATCCAGGTCCTCCTTTGGAAGAAGAAATTGTTACTGTAGTTGAAATAAGTCATTGCATGCCCTTTTGACAGGGCATGAACTAAACTTGCTTGTTTTTAGCAGAGTTGGCTTGCTTGTCTGGCTGCTAGAAAACGTGATCATTTCATTTCCATTCTTGGAAGTTCTGTTGCTCAACCTACTTGCACATTTCCCATTTTAATTTAATTACTCTATTAATTCTATTCCAGTTGTAAATTGAATAATAGTAACAGCTGTCTCACAGTCGGAGAATATTAAGACCAAAAGTATAATTGTTTCCTGTTGATTTTTTTTGTCAGCCTTTTGATAAATATATAGCAGTGTAATGGATTAGTCTTGTTTTGCTGTGCTTGGCTTCTTGTTACGCATTTTTTGTCTGGGCCTTGATATTATCATTTATATTGCTGGAAATCATTGTAGTTCTGTAGATGATCCATTCAGAATTATAGCCTGATTAGAGAATATAAAAAAAAACCCAACCAACCAAACAAAACAAAACAAAAAAAAACAACAAATAAACAACAACAACAAAAAAATAGTATCTGCTTTTAAAGGTACTGACTTTTCAGAGGCACATACTTATTTTCTACGGTGTGTGACAAAGGTTGTCGGAAAGCATCCACTGTGTAAAATGATTAGCTTTGTAAGGAGCTTCTGATAATCTTACTGAAGGGGTATATGCATCTTTGTGTGCAGGAACCTTAATTAGTAATGGCCCTACAGCTTCCTCATAACTCTATGGTGGCAGTGGGGAAAGGAGGAATCTTGAAGAGCAAACCATGCTGAACTGGATTAAACAAATACCGATCTGTCTATATAACGCTATTTTAATTGTTGATTGGATTTTTTTTGTGGGTAGAAATAATTGATCACAGATCAGTCGTGTGACTGTTAGTAGTTTTCATGATAATTTTAGCTTTTTAAAAACTTACAGTAATATTATGAACTATACGTTCAAAATACTGTATGTACTAAAATTGAAAGCACACCTGAACCAAATGCTAGAGCATATACATCATTCCAGAGCGGTTTATTTTTGACATATTTACCTAATTGTCCATGTTTGACTGAATCATCTATTACTAGATAATTTTTGCTTCGGATCTTGCAACGTGTAGCTGTGTGCAGTATTTTTGCTTATTGTGTTTAGCCTAAGTGTGCTGTACATAAAAGACAACATTCATGTGGTTAAAGGTGATCTGTCTGTCATTATGGGCTTCAGAGATGCATCAAGGCCCTGAAATTACTTTCAGGAACAGCTTGCTTCAGAGCAGAGAGCAGGAAAATGTTAATTGCTTTGAAAATCTGCAGCACATGGAAACACTTTGTTTTCATTTGCTTTATTTTCTTGCTTCTTCTGACTCTACACCATTCTCGTTACCCTTCTACTTTTATTTCCCCCTTCTGCCTCTGAGGTGTTTGAAGTGTGTGTATATATGAATGTGTGGTTGCATATGCCACCATGTGGCTGCACGCATTGAGTTGTCTGTGTGTTCAATTAACACCGTTTCTGATTCACTTTTGCTATCACCAAACTAATTAACAAAAATTAAAAGGAAGTCAGTTTACAGCAATTCCTTCTTGCTGTTTATAAATAAGAAAATAATAGGATATGGATGGAAGCGTCAAGTTGAATTGCTTTCTATAAAGTGCAGGCACAACCCTGTATATTGCAGCTTTAATAGCTAAATAATGTCAATAACTGTGGTTTTTCTTAAAATTGTTTAATATGTAACAACTGGTGTGAAATTATAATAATTAAAATGATTTGTGTCAAAAGGACAGCTGTCCTCTGCATGTCAGTTAATATGCTCATTCTGATATGGAGTTGTAAATGTCATATGAGTTTTATTACATGAGTTTTATTTAAATACTGAAGCTGTTATCTGTATAATTCTTTCAGTAATTGTTTAGGTCCAACACTTTTTAATACTGATTTTAGATTTTATGTTGTTTGTAAATTTTTTTACATAATAAGAATTTGTATGGCACCCTTTATGCTTTTGTGTTTGAGTTACTGAAAAGGGATTGTTTTGAACAACTGTTTATTACATCTTAATGAACCTATTTTAAGAATATTTGACTAAAAATGGCTCTTAATTGTCTGATCTTATTACATTTATGCCTTGGACTTCAAAATGTTTCATATTACAATATCCTAACTTTTCTAGTTTTTAACATAGTTTGGTTTTTTTTTAAAACCCTTCAAGACTGTCCTGGCTAACTACAATTTATGTTCAGCATTATAATTCTGAAAAACAAATAATAGAATTAATCCCCTTGAAGATTTGGAAATAGTGAAAACTTGCCTGAAAGTAGTTTCTGTAGCAAGCAGGTGGTTTAGTGACTGTGTCCCATTAAGATCATGCTAATTCTGAAAATGAATAGGTGAGATCCTGAGAGTTTAACCACTAAAATTACATATAGGGCAGTGGCCAGAAAACTAAGCACATGAGCCAACCTTCCTAGTGTTAAGTCTTGAAGGATTAGTTTTTGCATTTGCATGTACTGGAATGCACTTTTTTTTTTTTTTTTTTACATGAGCCCCCTGTTGCAGATGGAACTTTCCATCAGTGTTAAATCTCAAACTTTGAATTGAAGAATTCTACTTGCCTTAAAATGCATGTAAAGTCAATTTGCTGATATGCAGTGAAGCTTTCAGTATGTGATTTGAGTATTTGCAGTGGATAAACTAAAGAATGTATTAGTAGCCATGATTATTTTTCTTTGTAGGTTTCTGACAAAGAGAAGATTGATCAACTTCAGGAAGAACTTTTACGCACTCAGGTAACTTTTCTGAATTATTAATGTCTTGGGTAGGGATTTATGTGCAGCAGATTCAGATCTACTAGACAAAAGCTTGCCTGAAATACTGTAGTTGGGGTAAAAATACAGTGCTTTTTTGGTCTTTGAGCTTACCAGTGCAGAGTTGACTGTGCTGGCACAGACCAAGGGTCGGTGTAATCATACTTTTCTAAAATACTTCCCTTGCCTTCAGTGTTGTACACTCATGAAGTGAAATTAGCAAAACAGTGATATGTAAATACAATGCTAACATTCCATTTTTTTTTTAACATATTATGCATGCTAACTTTGTCCTAACATTCTACAGTTCTCAGTTCTTAGTGCTTCAGTGCTACTAAACGTATCTGTGATATCTTGTATGTTTAAATGGCACATTTATTGCAGATAGGAAAAGAGTTTACTTATTAAGGGGTTACGTTTTAAACCTTTAATCTAAGAAACATTTCTAGTAAACTAATGAAGCTTTTAAGTGTATTTGCCGACCAAACATCAGAGGAGAGATAGACGTTGTATGGGATATGTGGCGTAAGGCATTCAGACTGTAGTACAGTGGCATTCAGGATAACCAAAATATGTTCTTTGTTTTCTTTCATCAAGGAAAATGATTGCTGTTGCAATGCTAGTGTTGTATATAAGCCATGCAGTGTTAATCAAAATCTACTTTGTGAAGTAGTAAGCAGTTCTTTCAATTAAGTTCTTTCAATTATGGTTGGACTATTTGGTATGAAAATTGCTATGTGCAGATTGAAAGCTTTCTCTTTGCCCTCTCTTTAGAATTTAAGAGAACATTTAATCACTAAGAACCTGAAGAGGATAGTGCTGTTCAGAGAGATGTCCTTCAAATTTTCACTGTTTTTTTTTAAAGAATAATGACAGTTATTGTTAGGATTCTTTAATATAGGTTTCTAAAAAACTTCTCTTTTCAAAACCCAAGGCACTTTGGGTTTCTACTGTCTTCCATCTACTTCTGTTGTAATTTAATATAATCTGAGAGAAGATGTACTTTTGCAAGCAAAATCCTGATTTCAGTATTTCCCTGTTATCTGCCTGTTAAAGAGAAGCCTGCTTCATTTCCTGGCAGAAAAGTAGAAGATCTGCAGAGATCAGCTTTAGGATCAATGATTTTCAGACTGGCCTTTTAAAAAATGCATGGCCTAACTTCAGCACACCTAGGAGTGCTGTAATAGACATTTGGAAAGTCCATTTTTTATTATTTCTGTATATTATGAACACATACATGTTTACTTTGTTCCCCATACATAAAACTTATTACTATTTTAACCTTGTCAGGTTGTAAGTATAAATCTGGTTATCTTCTATCAAGGGTACAGGTATATATGAGTATACATTTTTAAGAACATGTTTTATACATGTTAAAGAATAAAGTCACAAAACTAAAATAATTTCACGTTCTCTGAAGTTTGACCTTGCATTCACAGAACTGTAGAATCATTAAGGTTGGAAAAGACCTCCAAGATCATCAAGTCAAACCATCAGCCCAACACTACCATGACCCCTAAATTGTGTCCTGGGGTACCATACTGACATGTTTTTTTAACCCCTCCAGGGATGGTGACTCAACCTCCTCCTTGCGTGGCCAGGTCCAATGCCTCACAACTCTTTCCATAAATAAATTCTTCTTAATATCCAACATAAACCTCCTCTGGCACAACTTAAGCCTATTTCCTCTCATCCCATTGCTAGTCATTGGGGAGAAAAGACCAACGCCCACCTCACTACAGGCTCCTTTCAGGGAGTTGCAGAGCACACTAAGATCTCCCCTCAGCCTCCTCCAGACTAAACAACCCCAGTTCCCTCAACTGCTCCTCATAAGACATGTTCACCAGACCCCTCACCAGCTTCATTGCCCTTCTCTGGACCTCAGAGTCTTTCTTATGCACCTCTTCTTACCAACACCTCAATGTCTGTCTTATGCTGTGGCACCCAAAAATGAATGCAGTACTCAAGCTGTGGCCTCACCAGTGCCAAGTCCAGGGGCACAATCACTCCCCTGTACCTGCTGGACACATTATTTTTGATACAGGCCAGGATGCTGTTGGCCTCCTTGGCCACCTGGGCACACTGCTGGCCCATGTTCCGCTGGCTGTCCACCAGCACCCCCAGGTCCTTTTCTGCCAGGCACTTTCCAGCCACTCTTCCCCGAATAGTTGATTCAATAGCTGATTTAAGAATTCCCTACATCAACTACGGAGCATTTCCAGCCCTTCTGGGGGTGTGGCTTTCATAATATTGAGCAATATAATGTGCAGCTGCAGATCTAGTTTATGAAAAAGTATTTCATCCCTTAGGCAGCCCTTACAGAGCAGGAACCATGATTCCTCAGCTGTGTGATTTACAGTTCTTCTTCAGACAGCAGCACTTTTTCCTCTTAGGTGTGTTGTATTCATATGTTATACTTTAATAGGGCTTTTCAGTGCAAATGGTTTTTGCCACAGTGCAAAAAGGTCGGGACTCCTTCCTGTCTCAGTAATTGATTTAAACTTCACCAAATCTCATTCTAACAAAGTTTTATTCTCCCTAATTAGCAAAGCAGAACTAGTTATTTTTAGGTAGACTTTTCAGGGTTGATGCATATCAGTCATATTAGTCATTACTTTCCCTTAATTTAAGGCACAATTAATCTTTTGTCTTATTTATAGGCTTCTAAATTCATTGGGTCTTCGTCTCAGCCACATTGTTTTGATATTGGGGTTTGCAACCTATATATTTGCTAGATTTGAAAGCATTTATTGCTTACCTTTTTTATACAATAGATTGAAATAATTTTTTCTTAAAAGTAGACTTGAGCCAAATATATTTTCACATTATAGAAAACAGTTTTAAGAGTAGGTATCAAAATTATATTCATCTCATCTTCAGAGGGCTATCATAATCTCTTTCTGGACAGAATTAAACTGTACAGTTGTTTCTTGAATGAGGTTGTATACTGAAGAAAGTCTAAACTAGACTTGCAGATTCACATTTAACCCTTGTGATCTTTTTGACTGAACAGCCAGTTCCCACTGGCACTAATTTGTCTGACTGCATTTGTGTGACTCCTTTGAAAATGATGCTTAAGATGTTTAAAAATTGATTTATGTATCTCCAACTTTGAACATAGTGGTCGTTTTAAAACTTGAAACAAAGGTGTTGACAAAAAAAATATCCAAACAGGCTTCTCTTGATGGCCTTATGTTTGCAATAAACTGTGATGATCAAAAAGGTTTCTGTATTTTTGAAAGACTTGCCTGAAGGATAATATTTTTTTCCATAGGTAAAACTTTGCTCGTGTGAATGTACTATTTCTGTGATGACAAGAGTATGTTTGTATCACTGTTTTGTAGCTCAAATACCAAAGAATGCTTGAACGATTAGAGAAGGAAAACAAAGAATTAAGAAAATTGGTACTGCAAAGAGATGACAAAGGGATTCATCAAAGGAAGTTAAAGGTACTTGTGTTACAAATCACCATAGGAGGATATTTATATGGTTTTTCCATTATGCTATTCTTAACTGTATTTAATTCATATAAGAACTTTTAACCTTTGCTATGTTTATGCTAATTTTTGTATAAGTTAAGGTTTTTATACTTTAAGCTATATAGCGTTTGGAAATGGCTTCACTTGATGAGCAACAGTGGGTTTACCAGGTTGAGGTAAATAACTGCCTTAAGTGGGAAATGTGGATTGGGTTTTTTGATGTAGTACACAGTCTGATACCTTTGTGCTTTGTCAAGGGTCGTACTGAGTTGGGCAGGAGTATAGTTACAAGGTCAGGAAATATCTTTTAATGGCATTGTATAAATCCAAGTAGACTGAGCTAAGTATGCTCTTCCTTTTCTGTGCCACCATCCTGGGTGTTCTGAAAACATACACTTTTCTGCCTCTCTGTATCATTTTCTGACCAATATGGTTCTTATTCTTTCCTCTTGGAGACAAGGAATTCGCTTTTGTACATGAGTTTGATAGCTCTGTACCCTTGTTAAGGGTCTTCATTTTCAATCTGAAAAGTAGGTCTAGATGTTTAATGGAAGATGCTCAGTTCAGCTTCTTAAATTTGAAGCGGTCAACATTGAAGGCTGTTGTTTCATGCTGTGCATAGGAGCTCTCATTTTGCTCCTTCAGCGAGCTGCGTTTGTGGCTGTACTGGTTTCATCCACAGGAGATAAGGCACAATGCCTGCTGTTATGTTTCATGCAACAAGGACCTGTGCTGCAGTAGCGACAGTTCAGGTTTCAAACCATCAGAAGAGAATGAACACATTTTTACAGATTAGTTTGCAGCATATGCAAATGCACTAGTCTGAAACCCAGTCTGTGTTCTGTTAACTCTTGTGTTCTCTCTCTACTTTTTTTTGGTAGAAATCCTTGATCGATATGTATTCTGAAGTACTCGACATCCTGTCTGATTATGATGCCAGTTATAACACTCAAGATCACCTACCTCGAGTAAGCAGATAGAAATGTCAGGTTTTGTTTATTGAAACACCGGTCTTATAATTGAATAGAATGTTGAATTATATTCCAGAATAATAAGGTGCTAGTGCTAGACTAGTTTCTTGTAACTCCAGTGGTTTTGCTTAAGACATGTTCTCCCTTTAAATCAAGAAGATAGTTTTGAGAAGAACCAGTGTAACTATGTTCAGTCTGTCTTGGCTCATAGATAAAACCCTATCTAGATACAGATATTGCTGCTGTGCTCAGCCTTTCATGTTAAATGGCCTCTGTCAGGGCGCCCCAGCCTTCTCAGAATTTTAAAATGACTGTTGTTTCCCAGCGTGTACCAGTGAAGCTGTGAAAATAAGGTGTCCTGGCTACCTCCCCACAGTAGCATTGGTGTAGGAGGGGGAGCATGAGAAGGGGTTTGGCAAGCCTGGTGCTGGTGCAGGGGAGAGCCAGGAATGCTTCCTGCTTGCACAGCCACCTGTACCACTGGTGCTTTCTATGGGAAATTAATAAGATGGGGAAATGATAGCAACTACATCACAATTCAGCCTTCTCCAGGCTGAAGCAGCATCTACCAGATGAGTAGCAGAACTGCCTGCCATGAGAACAATAAGCTCTTCCTCTCTTCATTATGTGGCCTGGCAGGTTATGGACAAGTCAATTTTTTGCATGACTAAAAGTTAGTCTTTCTTCAAGGATTCCATATTTAAACCAATGCAGTTGTTGTCAAACATAATAGAGCCAGTGTTGATACAGGTTAACATCTTTTTAGTCAGCTTTTGTTTAAGCTTCCAAAATGTCCTCCTGAAAGCCAATGGCTGTTTAAACTTTCCCCTAAGGTGGTGGTGGTTGGAGATCAGAGTGCAGGAAAAACCAGCGTGTTAGAAATGATCGCCCAGGCCCGCATATTCCCGCGAGGCTCCGGGGAGATGATGACACGTTCTCCTGTTAAGGTAAGTGGCATCATAATCTCTGAATCAACATTTGCTCTATTGTTCTCCCTTTGATTCTGGCACTAACCAAAGTACACATGAACATTTGTTTATAAAATGGCAGAACTGTTGCAGTCAATGACAGAACTTCTGCAGTATGATCCATATATACTATTGAAGTGGTAGTAGTTCCTCCTCTAAGTAGTGTCATGCTAAGTAAGCATTATATAGAGTTGTGTGTCTGCAGTGGGAAGTGTACATTGCTATGTGCATCTCATGTTTCTGTGTTAGATTTACTATACTTGCTCATATAAAGCTTTTATCATTTAGGTAACACTTAGTGAAGGTCCCCACCATGTGGCTTTATTCAAAGACAGCTCTCGGGAGTTTGATCTGACCAAGGAAGAAGATGTAAGTATAGAGAGCTGACTGGAAGTTAATTTAACTTCTGGTAATTCTCTGAAAAATGTGTCTCTATGAGCCATGTTTTGAGTGAAATATGTTTAGTGGGGCAAGGTGTTTTCTTAGTTATTAAATTATCTGTTAGTGGGGTTTTTGGCTGGCACTACATTTTGATAAAATGTAGGAGGAGCTCCTGTGCCAAGACATTTTTTGGAGTATGCAGGGTTTTGGAGGTAATCTGTCATTTAGCACCCCATTTACCAAACTTAGTTATTCAAGGTGCATTTGAGATAGTGTTTATAAACAGAGCTCTTAATCCCTACGTAAATGCTTTTTACTTATTTTTCTGCTATTGTGATTATGAGGAGTTTTATATTTTATATTTTACTTATTTCAAAACAGCTTGCAGCTTTGAGAAATGAAATAGAAATCAGAATGAGAAATAGTGTGAAGGAAGGGTGCACTGTTAGCACTGAGGTAAGACTTGTTACATATTTAGTGGCAAATACCTATGCATGTGTATCTTTTATAAGTACTCTTCAAATAGGAGACTCTGGTGAATCCAGTTTGTGTATAATATTAATATTTTGCGCTATACAAAATGTTTGTTGTGTTAAAATTTGTTTTATACCACAATTACATGCATATAAAACTGGACTTTTTATTAAAAAATACAGACTGCTGGTTCAGAGGATGTCTGTGTGTAAATATGCATTTATATAATTTATATATGTAATTTTAGTTTGTGCAACTACGTACAAAGTAGGTGTGTGTATGAATCTTTAATTTCAATTTTACTTCACAGACCATCTCCTTAAGTGTGAAAGGGCCTGGTTTGCAAAGAATGGTATTGGTTGATTTACCCGGAGTCATTAGTGTAAGTATGAAATGAAAACTAAATATCTTTAAAAAAATTTTAAGACATTTAAATGAAGAGGTGTCATTGGTGAGAATATTAATTGTTGATTTCCTTTTTTTACATCTTTGTTTTCTTTTTTCCTTTAAATATGTATCTCCATATACTTATTAAAGACTGTGACATCAGGTATGGCTCCAGATACGAAGGAAACTATCTTTAGCATCAGCAAGGCCTACATGCAGAATCCTAATGCCATCATCCTTTGTATTCAAGGTAATAAGATGGCAATCAGACTCCCAGGGGGTTTTTATTTTTCAGTTGTGATTTTTATGTTAGTCTGAGGACTCTCCTGATTATATTTTTTTTTTTCCATTTGTGGTAACCTGTATAGTGCACAAAAAGCATGCTGTGGAGTGTCTGTTTATAAATTAAGGCACCTTTACCTGTGGCAAAAAGCAATTTTTTGATAGGCGATTTTAATCATTAAAAAAAAATGGTGGTGGTGATAAAAGTTGTAACATGAAACTTACTTGATCTACTGTATCTTCAGTATGTTAAGCTACACAGTCCCTAAAATGTAACTCTTTTTGTTTGGTTTAGATGGATCAGTAGATGCAGAACGCAGTATTGTCACAGACTTAGTCAGCCAAATGGATCCCCAAGGGAAAAGGACAATTTTTGTCTTAACTAAAGTTGATCTTGCTGAGAAAAATGTGGCTAGCCCAAGCAGGGTGAGTTGAAATTATTTTTTTTCCTCAATTTGTGATGGCTGAAGTTACATATGGGAAAATATGTGAGATAGTTTTGAATGCCTATTTCTATATTCAGTATGATTATTTTTTTTTTTTTTTGATGGTTCTTGTTTTAGTCTCCCTCAGGCTTTGCTTTTTGTGATCAGCTGCATGACTTCAGTCACAGCTTGGCTACAGCTTTTCTATAATACTGGTTCCTTTCATGCAGGTGGCCTGACCAAGTTCCATTTCCTGAGAAGGCTTTAGGATATGCTGGGATATATTTTTTACCTGTATTTTGTGTTTTGCTATGTTATGTCTTAATTTGTGTTATACCTTTGGGTTTTTTTTTCTGTAAAATACCAGTAGAACTCATGACAAACTGCTTCTTATAGTAGTCTCTACATAGACACAACTAGATCTGGTTTTAAAACAGTGTTAAAGAAAAGAATGTCTCTGTGCAAAGTTAACTACATTTTTTTAATCCTTTCTTTTCATAGATCCAGCAAATAATTGAAGGCAAACTCTTCCCAATGAAAGCTTTGGGTTATTTTGCAGTTGTTACTGGAAAAGGTAAAGAGAGCTCTGACTCTGCTTATTCTCTCCTTGATAGCAGAGGAAACTGTCTAAATGGAACTATTGCAGCACTCTTTTCTTTCTCCAGGAAACAGCAGTGAAAGCATTGAATCTATTAAAGAATATGAAGAGGAATTTTTTCAAAACTCAAAGCTGTTAAAGTATGTTGCTATTTATTTGTTTTAATAAAATGAGCCTGTGTTGGTAAATGCTCGCATCAATTACAGTGTAGAAACTATTTGAGGTTTAATCTGATTAAATTAATTACATTGTTAAGGTGACCAAATTAGCCTGGTTTCCTAATGGTTGCTGTAAGGCAGTCGAGAGAGACAGACATCTTCAGGCAGCTGCTGATTCCACTGCAGTTCTGAGCCTCTCTTCAAAGGGTTCTGTCTCTCTCCATTGGCTCTAGAACAACTGAATTCCCAGCCTACGTCTGGGCACTTGATGCAGCTGGGAGGAGTGAATCCAGCCCAAATATGAGTTGTAGTGCCTCTAAATATCAGCCATCTTGGTGTGACAACAATGTTGTATTCAAAGGGTCATCTTTTGTGTTCTGCTGGAAGTTCATCGAGCAGAGTTTTGATTTTGCAGGCTTGTATTTCTCAGGAAAGCAAGCTGCATGGTCTTTGGGACTGCAGTACCTGCATTGCAACCTCTAGAATAAAAATGTAGCTGTGCTGAGGGGTGTGTTTTGTTTTGTTTTTTTTTTACTCTTGCTATGACTGTCTGCATTGAATATTTTGGAGGAAGAGACTGGACTTTGGGTTAGGTGCTCATTGACATGTTACTTTCTGCTGTATAAAGCAAAGTTTTATTCTTGTGAGGATAAAATAGGAGACAGAAAGTATGGATGGATATGCATGGAAGAATTTCCTCTAGCTGTCATTCTTTACAGGACTTGTATGCTGAAGGCACACCAGGTCACAACAAAGAACTTAAGTCTTGCTGTGTCAGATTGCTTTTGGAAAATGGTGAGAGAGTCTGTGGAACAGCAAGCAGATGCTTTTAAAGGTAAACATCTTTTCAAAAATCAAGTGAAACACCAACTTTTAAACAGTTCTTTCACACACATACAGTGCTGTTGCCACCATGCATGGGCAGTTGTGTTGTGTGTGTTTTATATGATCATCATTTGTCATTAATTGGTAATTACCCCAGTTAATCTTTACAAAAACACATTAAAAAATAATTAATGGTGTGAAGGACCCACTTGTCCTAAAATTCAAAGGAGTAAATACGTATAAAAAAAATATATAAATTTTTTTTTTCAGGCAAAACACAGTTCTTCCTCTGGATTCAGATGTTGTTTAAAAAGGCTTCCTATATAAAGATACCATCTGATCAGCCAGGGCAGGACTGAAAGGCTCTTTCCACTACGTTTTTTTCAATGCATGAATCCTGCAATTTGCAGATTAAATACCTAAGAATATACAGCAAAAAACTTTGCTCATTTGCAGAGGCACTTAATGTTCTTGGGGCGTTTGTCATAAGCAAAATTTGTGCCAGTTTTAGGAGCTGAGGAACTTTTGAGACAATCATGAAATGCATATAGACAACTAAAAACTCAAGGCCTTGTTTCTTATTTTTGCAGCCACACGCTTCAATCTTGAGACTGAATGGAAGAATAATTACCCCAGGCTGCGAGAGCTTGACAGAGTAAGTTGTACTACTGCCTTAATTTGTGCTACAAAGTGCTGAAAATTCTGGCTTAAAATTTACACCATTTAATTTCATTTCTAAAGGTTTCTTCAAGTTTGCATAAAGTACTGACATTTTAAAATTGAGGACAGTGTGGATTATTCTAGGGGAAGGAAATACTGAGCTCTCTGTTTTGTGAAATAGTATGCTTCAAATTTATGATACTTCAACACTTCACAAGTCCTTCACTCTTCCACGATGCACCTAACTGACCTAACTTGCCCACAGGAATTGGTCAGGGCTTTTTTTTGTGATCATGATGGAACTGGCAGCAAGAAGTAACGTTCTCTGGTCTTTCAGACAGGCAGAGTAACAAATAATTTGGGTCACATTCTCCAATTCTTTTATGGAGATTCCAAATAATCAAATCAGAGGCATACCATAGGTGGATGGGAACATGTGTGGTGAACCAGTGTAGCTTATGACAGACAATAACACATTGTCCAGAAAGTATAATTTCAGGCTTAAAGGACATGAAAAAAATTTGGTTTTTTTACTTTTTGTGTAGGAACATGATCAAACTATGCTTGATACCTTATTTCATATTTTTCCTTTCACATAGAATGAACTGTTTGAAAAAGCAAAGAATGAGATTCTTGATGAAGTGATAAGTTTGACTCAAGTCACACCAAAGCACTGGTATGGTAAATTTTTTATTTCCTTTTCTTATTAACTAGCAGAAGTTTGCCTTTAAAGTATAAAGAATTTTAGTAAACAAAATTTCAAATAAAAATAAGGACCTGTTTTTCTTAGGGCAGTATTATTATGGCCTTTGTCCCTGTGGAGGTCATCTGTACTTGTTTATTATTCTAAAGCAGCAAGTACTTCTGTAATCTCTCACGGTTTGTGGTTTATTCTGGTTTTATACAGTATAATGAACTAGATATTCCTTAAAATTAAAAGGAACAGTCATAACAAAGATGTTTTCAGATTTCATTTGAAGTATGAATTGGTAATTCGCTTAATTTGATGTTTGGGCATTATCATTGTACAAATTGAAATATGTCCTTGGAAAAAAAGACTCTTCATATGTCTGTAAGTCAGACCTGAAAGATGAAAGATTATGTAATTTCTGGCTGTAAAAAGAGCTGATCTGGATGTTTGAGAATTTCATCCTACGTGAAGATCTCCTTGTTAGCCTCAACCAAGTAGCACTTGTCCTACACTGACATAGGTGTGTGTGAGAGAGAGAGAGAGAGCCCTTAGCCTAAGAATTTTAGCAGTGTAGCATCACTGCATAGTAAAGCCACTTCAGACGCAGGCTGAGAGGAGAATAGGGAATGTAAAAGATTACTCTGACAGCTTGTACCACAACCAAGAAACACAAAGATTTCTTTAATGCCTTTGCCTTGTTCAACCAGAATTGAACTGTTACTTGGTCATAGATTAAAAATCAAGATAAAATGTATGACCCTTAACAATGTTAGAATAATTCTGGGCAGGTGGATGTGGTAAGGGGAAGTGTTGTAGGAGGTGTATTAGTCTGGAGTTCTGTTCCAGTCCAAATGTAGTGCAGGTTTCCCATTTTGGCATTTGCTGCTGTTTGCTCTGTAGTACACTGGTCCGTGTCTAGTTTGCCTAATTTTATATTGTGGATTGGGTGGGTGCATAACACAAATGTTTCTGTGCACTTATGTTGGGAGTTAAAATGTAATGGTGATTCTAGTTTTATAACACTTAATGAACTATAATGCAGAACAGGAAACCTAAGTCATGAAAAAAAAAGCTTCTGCTAGCCATTATATAAAGCCTAAAAACAGCAGTGTGTTTGATGAATGCAAATGCTTCTATCCTGTTAAAATTTCCATTCCTTCCAATTAAGTTTGATTGGATTAAGCAAAGCAAAAGTATATTTTTATTGACACATAAATAAAGAAGGAATGAGATGGCATTTGTTCTTAATCAGAGGGCTGCCCTTCTCCTACAGTGCATTTTTAAGTGGTAAAATCCATAACAGATGGTTTCCAGCACACCCTGTAAATGAAATTAATTTACCATGTCCCCAGTTCTTTTAGTGGTGATCAAGAATGATCAACAATTGGTTCTTGTCTGAACACTGTCCAAATCATACTATTCTGAGCAAAGCTTTTTGAATTTTTTTTTTTTTTTACTGTTGGCAATATTAATTTTTATTTATAGTGAATTCTTTCAGCATTTAAATGCTTGCATGCCTTTTAATTTTGTATAAATAGTTTTACTACCCTAAGTATGGCAAAGATCTGTTCCAACAGTAGAAAAGCTAGTGGCTTTGATCACCATTTATGCTGGTTTGTCAGAAGGACAGCTTCAAAACTTTCAAATCTCAAAGAAGGATGCTTTAAACACAAAAAAGGAATTTTAAATTATGCCATTGTTGAAACGGGGGTGAGAATGATATTTATGAGAAGTTCTTCAGTGTTTGTCCACAGATAGCACACTTAGAGTAGGGATATTATTAAGGATAAGGCTTGTGTCGTGAACTTCATCTCATTTGGAAGAAAAGGCCTTGAGTGAATCTGATAGTCTTGTAACACTAAAAAAACCAGTCAGTTTTATTCTGTGGCTCTTAGCTCTCACTATTCTACCAAATCTGGCATTCATATGACCTATTGGTAAGCTGGTTTAGCATGCTGAGCTAGCATAAAATTAACCTGCAAGAAACCCACCGTCTGTACTGGAGACTGCTGGGAGCAGGAGGAGCGTGACTCTGTAGGTCCCAGCTGCATGTTACACAGCTTAGCTGAGTTGTCTCACTGCAGCTGGGAAGTTTCCTGAGTGAGTTTGCTGCTATTTAAAAAGATTAAAGTTAGATTGTTTCCATTGTTATTTCTTGAAACACATCATAAATAGGAAAGTAGTGCTTAGTTTTTTTGTAAATGAATGTCAATATACATTTTGGTAAAAGGTTGAAATTCTCAACTTGCTTCATTGTTTACCCAATCTGGGAACAATCAGTGAAAATCCCAGATGGAAAACTACAGCATGTTCCAACAAACAAATCAGAATACTGCAGAAAGAAAACCCACATGTTTTTTGGGGAGTGTGGACTTTCTGGCAAATCATTTCAGTGCTTTACAGTCTTCCCCCTTGTAGCTCCCCCAGGTGCCATGCATGTGCACACACAGCTCTGCGTGGTTATACTGGTATAAATCAAAGGCTGCAGGGAATAGTTGTACAGTGCAGTGGCAGCTCTAAGTGTTGTAGAAGCCAGCTTCTGAAGCTGTCTTTGCTGCTGAAAGCATTGTGTATTTATGTCCTTAATTCCAAACAGGTTTTGGTTTAAGTTGTGTTCAGGTGTTAAGGTGTATTCCCTGTGTTCTGTAGTTCTGTTTACCTGTTAAGACGCTTTTGTATTGGCAGCCATCATGTGTGTTACGAATTCCATTTTAGGGAGGAGATTCTTCAGAAAACTTTATGGGAAAGGGTATCTACTCATGTGATTGAGAATATATACCTTCCAGCAGCACAGACTATGAACTCGGGGACATTTAACACCACTGTGGACATCAAACTGAAGCAGTGGACTGACAAGCAACTGCCTAATAAAGCAGTAGAGGTGAGAATTTACTTATTGGCAGGGGAAAAAAAAAAAAAATCTGTGCAAAGCCTGTTGAAATAAGGCTGAAAGCATAGCTCCAGAGCAGTAAGGTGATTGTTTGGAGGGCTGACTGCAGTTCTTCTAACCAGGTTCTGTGTTAGGAAAGGCTGGCAAGATCTAGATGTTGAGAAGCATATACAGCAGTAACACTGTATTTTACTTTTCTGGTGCATTTTCCCTATTATAGACAAAAAAACCCACCCTCTTCTTAAAAGGTTAAACAAACCCTTCAAGCTAGATGTATTCATCTTTAATAGGTTTATGCAAGTTAAACAGAATTCCACTTGCTACAACATTGCAAGGCAAAGTTTAGCATTGACTTCATTAGTAATGGGTAAGGCAGCAAAGGAAAAGTCAATGACTGTTTTACATAGCTTTCAGAAAGTATGGAAATTTTCATACTTGCAAGAATTTTCCTAAATGTTCCTTTACTGGCTGGTGCATGATGCAGTGGTCCATTTCAATAAACATTGTTTGCTGACTTTCTAGGTGGCATGGGAGACTTTGCAAGAAGAATTTTCCCGTTTCATGACAGAACAAAAAGGAAAAGAGCATGATGATATCTTTGATAAACTGAAACAAGCTGTCAAAGAAGAAAGCATTAAACGGCATAAATGGAATGAAAGAGCAGAGGATAGCCTGGTATAATGTAGTAGGATTTTTCCATTGTTGGCTAAGCGCTGTTGAAATCTTTTTACTAAAGTTGCATATTCACTATTTTTGATTTCTTTTGATGTGATCCTAAAATGACAGGGAGTTATGTCCATCTCCTCTTCTATACGATGTTTTCATTCAGTGTTTCTCAATTAATTTTTTTACCTTTTGTTAATCATTACCCTAAATAGCATTTCTAAGTTGTCTTGGTTGATTCAGGAAGAAGTCCTTGAGGATTATTTATTTGTTATTGTTTAAGTACATTGTTTAAACAATATATTGTTTGTTGATCAGCTCATTTGTTTTATTAAGTATAGCAACATAACAGCATTTCATTACTATCTTTGTAGATTCTGTGATCTAGAGGGATTTCATATTGTTTGTGATATTTTTTTCCAGTATTTATGCTAGGCTTATAGACAAGAATCAAATGCAGAAGAAAATATTTTTGGTAGTGTTTTGAAAAGGTGCCCCCTGAATAAATCCTGTGTGCCCAAAACATGGTGGTTTTATAGATATGAAAAAACTTAAGATAACGTCAGAAATCTTTTTCTGCCAATTGCTGAATCAATCATTTATTGCATGCTAAAAGGGTGTCCTGTATTGCAGCGAGTGATCCAGCACAATGCCTTAGAAGATCGGTCCATATCTGATAAGCAGCAGTGGGATGCAGCTATTCACTTCATGGAAGAGACGCTCCAAAGTCGTCTCAAGGACAGTGAGTTGTGTCGTGTATTCCACTTTTGTCTGCTTTTTAATCTGGGCCAGTTTCTGGGCCTAGTTCACTTCCCTGCAGTGCAAGCTTTTGTGCCAGCACAGCTGAGATAGTGGTGACAGTTTAAAAAGGTACCAATAGTGAGAGAAATGTTTTGCAAAGTACAACTGCAAAAGCTGTTGCAATGAGGCAACTAAAAAAAATAAGTAATAGAGATCTGTGGAGTCAAAAAATGGTACAAACACACATGTAGAAGAATAGAATAAATTCAGGGAGAGCAATTGGTCTTTTTATGGCTATCAAGCATGATTAATTTTTATTAAAATTGTAACAAGGTTAGATATTTTAAATGCCTGACTCAGGACTTAGAGGGCTGTCTCAGTGCTGGGATGTTATATGCTTCCTGAAGTATCTACCAATTGGAAGTAGTTTTTAAATTTTAGTAGAAGATATCAACTGTTGCTTTGGGTAAAGACATCTGACTTGACTTGGTGTGGTGGTTTAATGCCAGCCAGCAATTAAGCACTGTGCAGCTGCTCACTCACTTCTCCCCTCCACCTCCCTGTGGGATGGGAAGGAGAATCAAAACGAAGTAAAACTTGTAGGCTGAGGTAAGAACAGTTTAATAATTGAAATAAAATTAAAATAATAGTAATTTAAATGAAGAGGAAGTTAACAAAAAAAGAGTAAAATAAAACCCAAGAAAGACAAGGGATACACAGTGCAAGTCCTCACCACCCACTGATGGATGCTCAGCCAGTCCCCAAGCACTGATCCAACCCTCCCAGCCAACCCCCCCTGTTTATACACTGAGTGTGGTGCCATATGGCATGGACTGTTCCTTTGGCCAGTTTGGGTCAGCTGTCCTGGCTGTGTTTCCCCAGCTTGTTCCCCTCCAGCCTTCTCGTTAGCTGGACATGAAAAGCTGGAAAGTCCTTGACTTAGTATAAACACTACTTAGCAGCAACTAAACCCATCAGTGTGTTATCAACATTATTCTCACACTAAATCCAAAATGCAGCACTGTACCAGTTCTAGGAAGAAAATTAATTATATTCCAGCCTAAACCAGCACTCTCAGTATGGCATATCTTATGATCCGAGTTACAAAGTGTCCATACTTGATTTCTACCTAATTTTAGAACTATAAATTTGGCTGATTACATCTGTTTTAAGAGGTACTTAATATCGTGTTTCCTTTATTAGCTGAATCTGTTATTGAAGATATGGTGGGTCCAGACTGGAAAAAAAGATGGCTATACTGGATAGGCCGCACCAAAGAACAGGTAAAAGGATGCAAGTGATAGTAGAACCTCCCTCCAGCTCATGCAGTCAGTAAAAAATATATATATATATACACACACCTTCAAAGAATTTGTAGTTCACTGCCTTTGGAAAGTTTTGGTTATTACTCAGTAAATTCTTTTTTAAATTTTTTTTAAAAAACCAACCCTCTATTTAGATTTTTTTTAAAAAAAAATTACTTTTAAGTACTTTACAATTACTTTTACTATTAGTTTTCACTATTACACCACAGAGAATTCCATATACCTTTATCATTTTGCAGATACATAATGGTTCATAAATTCATTTCTACTCTTCTTGAATTATATCTTTACTATTATGCCATTGACCTGAATATTGAAGTTATTCCTGTAGAAAGAAATTGATGAAAACAGAGAAATTGGGCTATTATCTCCTGTACTTTCCAAGCATGCCTTTTAAGCAGAAGTTGCGTGCAGTTTCCTGTCATTCTCCATTTGGATTTAATTAGTTTTTGGTGGCATTAACACTATCATTCTAGTCACAGTTGTATCTTCTGATTGACTGTTTCCATCATAACCCATCTTCTCATTTGTTCATAGCTTTATAAAATTTAATTTGGATTTAAGTTACACCATCTGTTCGATGCCCAGAGATGATGGGCTTTTTATGTTACTTTTTCTAGATATTTCTCAAACTGAATCATACTTTAAAGAAGTAAGTAGCCTTTAAAAGAATACAGTAGAAAATAATTGTTTCAGAGGAAGGAATTTTACAGTCAACTGTATGCAGCCAGGTATGGGAGAAAGGCAGTGGCTTCAACCTATCTTTCTTGAATGTAATGAACCACAACTTAAAGGTATGAACCCATGGAGAGTTCTTGCTAGCTATTAGGCAAAAATTACAATTCTCATCCATGTCACAGGTGATCTGTGATATGTGAACCCTGGTGGTTCATGGAGGGGAAACGAGGCATAACATCTATGACCTTTTTTTTCCCCACCCCTTCCTCTTCTGCATTTCTGTGAATAATGAAAAGAAAAAAATTATGAAAAAAATTACAGTGAATTATAGATTTTTAAATGCTATATTTGAAACATCTTTGCACAAATACCCTTGACTTAATTAACTGTAATAGTTAATAGTGTTAAAGGTATTTTCCATTATGGTTTATCAAGCAGATAGACTGTGCAGATGGACATGAAGACATGCTCATGATCTCCAAGTCTACAATAATTAATTCTAACTGATCATTCTTATCCTAGAATATTCGTAATGAAACAAAAAATGAACTTGAGAAATTAATCAAATGCAATGAGGAACATGCAGCTTATCTGGCAAATGACGAAGTGACGACTGTGAGAAAGAATCTTGAAGCAAGAGGAATAACAGTGGACCCATGTCTGGTAAGATGCAGAATTGTAACAAAACATTTGGGAGCCTCCTGTGAACATTTGACTGTTCTTTCTAGATAGCACTGGAAAGGCTCCATCTAAATACTGAATTTGTAATCCAGATGTTTCTAAATTAATTACTAAGCAACTGCTTGCATGTAATTCACACACTTCCGTTGCCTGTCAGACAAATGTAGTTACAACACTTTAAAGTCTGTCATTTTAGACTGAAATCAGAATCTTCTGAGCAGATTTTCTCATGTGCGTTTTGACAAGGCTTGTTTAAATTATTAAGATGTTATGTAGTGGAATCAAGGCCTTTTGTGAGCAAAATATGATAAAAAATAATTGTGCACTTCTAAGCTTTCAGTGTGGTTTTATGTCCAGTTCGAAGTTTCTTGGCACACTGAAGAGAGAAATTTTGTAAAAATACTTTAAAAAAAGGAAGGATTTTTTTTTTTTTTTTAAGAATGGGAACATAAATAAGCCTATTCAAATGTTTGTTTACATAAGACATTAAATATTTCTCTAAGCTTTAGTCTGGTTTAATTGATAAATCAATCAGTACTGCTCAAAAATGTATTCTCAGTGTTAATGTGAACATTTCATCATGCCAAGATCAGACCAGTTCATCCTGTGTTGTAGTACGTAATTTAAACGCATTTTGGCTGCATACAGTATTTTGAAGCATTCAGTTATGTTATGAGCACAGAAGAGTAGATTTTTAAGTTGCCAATCATCTGCAAAGGTTGTCAGATGTAACTAACACATTATTTATACCCCAGCTGCAGACAAATCGCTGAGAAATATTTAAACGTACATTGTATGAGTGCAATAGTGGAATATGGAGTTATATTTTTAAATTCAATGAGATTGTAGTGAATGTATGTATGTATTTAGTTAAATTACTGTTTTCCTAGATTAAAGATACATGGCATCAAATATACAGAAGATACTTCCTGAAGACTGCTTTGAACCACTGCAATCTCTGTCGAAGAGGCTTCTATTATTATCAGAGACATTTTGTTGACTCAGAGGTAAGTTGAACAGATACGCACTATTGGTGTTTTGCCTCAATCTTTCCATCTCATTATTAAAAAAACCTACGAGTACTTTAAACTAGCTTAGCCTTCCTTTTATGTTCTCTACGTCTCTTATCTCAGAGATAGCTGATGATCTTGCATATGTTTTACATGAGGCTTTTAACTGATAAAATGCTATCCTGCTGGGAATTACATAAAATGACCACTAGGCATCAGCCTTGACCTAAAAATCTGTTACTTCTTCATGTGTGTGGAAAATACACTGTTAAAAGCAGTATTGTACAGCTATTGATATCTCGTTGATGTCCATTTCTCCACTTCTCTCACTTTCCCGTTGATACTTGCCTCAATGATACAAAAAATTCAGAAAACATTAAGTAAACGATTTTTACGGGGTAAGTATTTTTCATACTTTGAACCACATGTGATAAACAGAAAAAAAATACAACTATGGAGCTTACAAACAAATCTTCTAAATGACTTTTTAAATCTACCTTTGCCTGTAAAAGAGAGTGAGATCATAGAGTGGAGAGCAGCCTCTCTGTGACAATCTGCTATTCCTGTTACTGTCTTTTTAAGGCACCCTAATGTGAAGATAGCAGTCCCTCCTGCCATCCTTGCAGGTGTCGAAACCAGCTCCTCTGTTGTTAACAAATATAGCACAGCAGTGTCTTCAGAAGCATTTGTCAGGCAGTCACCACGTGGATGGAGTTCAGCTGCTGGCTTTCACCCTGTTTGCTGTGCCCAAGTGTGGTGTTTCGGTGAGCGTTAAGTTATACTCACCAGCCACCATATAGTGTGTGCAAGTTGTTTTTCCATGATATTGCTTGATCTGGCTCTTCTGATGAAAATACCAAATGTCAAGGTGCGCAGTGTATTAAACAGAGCTGACACGGTTCTTGGGAAGTATTTTTGGTGTGTTTCCATGTTGCTCACAGCAGTTATTCTGTGGGATTTTTGTGCAAGATGCAGATAGGCATACATGAGTTTACAATTGCTGCTCAAAGTGTGTCAAGAGATTCTTGTGAGTGTAGGATGTTCACTAGGCATCAGAGATCTGACACTACAGCTTCCCTTGTTGCAGCTGGAATGTAATGATATCGTCCTCTTCTGGAGAATACAGCGGATGTTGGCAATTACAGCCAATACACTGAGGCAGCAGCTCACCAACACTGAAGGTAAGGCTCATAGGGAGTAGAGGTGTTTGAAACAAAAAATGGTTAGAAATTGTCTAGTATTCCTCTGCCTGCGTGTTCCTTTCGTGTTCCGAATTTGACTTTGTATTTGCATTAAAGGATTTAGTGTAAATAGAGCGTCAAATAGTTAAGATGCTCTTCATTTAAAAATATTTTTTGCTTACATGATGCAAATTACGTAGCAGACAACTACGTAATAATGACCTTTGAGCTGTAAAATAGTTTTCAGCCTCCATGTTGAAGAATTTGCAAGTGAACAGTTAAACCTTATCATGTGATGCAAGTTACCCTCCATGGAGAAGAAACTGACCCTAAATGTAGAAACCTAGATCCTGTCCCTTCACACCACCTGCCACATTGGCAACTGCTGGGCTGAAAATTAGGAAGTTTCATTAGGAGGTACTCCATCTGCACAAATGTAAGGATATGAATACTAAAATGGACACAATACTGCTTTAAAGGGCTTTTGATTTCTCTTAGTCTTGTATACACAGCAGCCCTTCAGTACCACACTGCTGTCATCATTAAGTTTTTTCCATCTTTCACCTTTGACTTGGCCTTTATTCATCTGATGAAGGTGATGTTGATAGTGGAAATGTAACTTTTAAGAAGGAAGCAGCAAGGATGCTTACAATAAAAGATTTGTTGGACAGTCAATCTTGAAGAAGAAACTGATGAATTTAATAGACAGTGAAGCAGTTTACAAATATTTTTATCTCCTAAAAAATTCATCCAATAAAAATTTAATTCAGAGAGAAAATATCCTTTTAAATTTAAACATCTTTCTCAAAGAATTTCCTGTCTTAATGGCCCAAACAAGGGAATTATGTGTTCAGAAGGTTTCTCCAGATTAGTCTGGTAACATAGTGCGTCTCTTGGGGACCTTCCCAAAATTTTGTTCTTAGGTCATTACAGGTGCAAAAGTGTTACTGCTCGCTCTTTTTGCTTGCTTTGTTGTTTTGATTTTTATTTTTTTTTAATAGTAAGACGCTTGGAGAAGAATGTAAAGGAGGTGCTTGAAGATTTTGCTGAGGACAATGAAAAAAAGGTGAAACTCCTAACTGGTAAGAGGGTCCAGCTTGCAGAGGATCTCAGTAAGTACCCACTTTATAGTGTTTTGGAACTAGCTTGAAATGAAGTGAATTCTGACTACTGTCCTTGAGAATATTTAATGTGATATGGCTTGTTGTAAATGCTAGCATTTAATTAATATTGCAAATGGAATTTTTCTTAAATATGGTCAGATCTTCCCAATTCAAAAATGGACACGAGTAGCATAGTGTGCTAAACCAATATATTTTACACTAGATGTAATTTTATGGTTACAAATATGCTGGTTCAATATACTTAAGAATGTAGTTAAACCAGAGTAATACTGTAAAGGGAAATTGTTGTTGTCCTGGTACAACAGGAGACCTCGGAGACCTGTCTCTGGGCACTTCAGTCCTGGCTGTGCAAGGTGGTTTTGACCCCAGTTGGTTTTAATTATTGGGTGAAATATGCAGCCTTCCCACAGATAATACTGGCTGTTAATACAAGTGAGCTGGAAATGCCTGTGGCTTACTGGCCAGTTTGTTTTAGGCTATGTATACAGGAACAAGACCTGTCAGACATGAAGATCTGAGATGTTGTTTTTATTAAACTGAGATGATCATTATATTAAGAGTTTTAACAAGGAAGAAAATGTAGCAGATTTAAACTTCCAGATGGATTACAGTAGTTTAATGCTTTGAGTCACTCGGAAAGTGTTAAGGATTTCTGTGGCTAACAGCAAGATTTTAAACATTTTTTTAGGCGACAATTCAGGCTGAGATGATTTACTCTTGTTGTCTGCCTGCATATCTAATAAGGTTTAGACTGACTTCTAGCCAATGGGGCTTGCTCTTGCACATACATTGCTGGCTTTTTTGGCAACATTCTGCTGTTGTTCTGTGAGACTTCTGCTTAAACCCCAGCTGTACACCTGGACTGGTAGGGGAAAAAAAAAATAATGCTGTACAAAAGGAAAAAGAAAAAAAGCTTGTAACAGATAAAGTTCATATCTGTTCATAGGTATATCAATAAAGTTCATAGGTATATCAATATCTGCATGTTGAAACCACAGGTGACCTTTCTTAGACCTTTACTTTGTGTTTGACATAGAAACTAACTTTCCCTTAAAATATGACTTTGGATATTTAATTCCAAAAATATGAATGCTCTGCTTAGTGTTTCTTCTTTCGTTTAGCAATGTTCTGGTATGCAGGGTTCAATGAGACAGAGAAGCCTTAAATTGCTGTTAGTTTCCTCAGTATGAATAATGTCTTCCATGTCATATAAATCAAATGTTTTGCTTACAATAAACCAAAATTCCAAGAGTTTATTTTTGCTAGTGATAGTTTAGTTACACTGGAAGTGTTACTATTGGAGATACTGTTATTAAAATCCCAATGAGTTATGGTATTTGTTGTCCTTTATGAAGTCTTGCAGTAGTATTTTGGAATGGTGAGTAGAAGTTTTAGTAAATTTAGGACAAATTTTATGGTTTTTATTTTCAGTAGGTCTCTGAAACAGCTGCTGTGACTGTATTTATGATAGGTTCATAATTACATACAAACATCCTGTGTCGCTCTTGCAACCTCCTCTCAATCCCCATGTAGCCATTCTTTTAAAGTGGGTGGGATGTGTTTTACAAAACAAGGTTTTTTCCTCTCTGTATATACATATGTTGAGGTAAAAATACTGTTAGCCTGCACAGTGGGACACAAATATTTAATGAGGAAATTATCTCCTTTTATTAGTGAGCAGTTGGTGTTTGCTTTCTTGCTTTGTTGCTGGGTGGTTGTTTTTTTTTTTTTTTCCTAAGAAAGTACTGGTATAAAGTGAAACATGGTGATTTAGATTTTTCCTTAAGTATTCCATGTTTCAAAACAAAGTAAAGAAATGCTAGCAAATACATAATGTTGAAGTTAATCTGTCTTTATTTTGCACTGAAATCGACTTGGAATTTGCATTGTCAATTTTGCTTCACAGCTGCATCAGGAATAAGTTCCCATTTCAGAGCAGTGACAGCTGGGGTGGTTGTTTTGTAAAATCAGACTAGCCCTGTCTGTGTTTATGATCCCAGGTATCCTGTGTTTATAACCCTAGCTGTCTGTGTATGAGTCTGTATGATCCAAGTTTGTAGTATGCATTTCATAAATTACTACACAGTGAAAATACCACCACTGCACTGTATTTCTTTAGATTCAGGTCACAGATCCCACATCTATTACTCTAAGGAAATAATGCTTATTCAGTACAAAATGATGTATAATGACATGTTCTGTTTTGTTGTACTATAGGAAGATTTTAGAATGTCCACTGCTTAGCTCTGTAGTCAAATCACCAATGTTCTCCCTACTTTCTGCATGCTTTTATTGAGAAGTGATTATAATTTTTATGGATAAATGACAGAAAGAAGGGACTTCTTTGCCTTTCCCTTAGTGAATAGAGTGTTTTTCTGTGCTGCAGTGTTTTTTTTCTATATGCCTGAGACAGATTTTGATAGCATAGAGCATTGAACTCTCAGATGGCTATAAAAGTAATTTCCTTCTTCCACAATTTAGTGATGATCAGACTCTGCTTAAGGAAAAAAACTCCTGACTCCTACAACACACATTCATGAAGTATTTGTATTTTAATTAGGAATGGAAGTGATCTCCTGAATCTTGAAGTCCAGGCAGCTGTGTTTATATAACCCAGCCATTCACATATCTTGAGCTCCATCTTTAAATCCATTAACTTGTTGGAGCTCACTGTTCATACTGAAAACAAGTTCCAGGATGTCATTCTTCTGATTACAAATAATCTCTTAATTTCCAGTCCTAATTTGTTAATATGAGGCTGGGATTTGCTTACTGATTGGAAACTGTACTTGCAAATGTAACTTATTCATATACCTGAGGTTGGGATGCTTCCTCTTGGTGTTGGTGATCCAGCAACACCATCTCACTTCTGTTACATCAGTCTTTTAATGCTGAAGCACTGGAGGTGTTCTATTATTTGTTCAGGATGCTGGTTAATGTCAAACTGTTTCTAATGGGAATGACCCAGTCTTGTAATTGAAGCTTAAGACTTAAAACTTATTTGAACAGGTTTTGTTATCTGTGTTCTACAGCCTTGTCTGGTATTTTAAGCCTATGTGTGAATGTTCCTTGATGATCTTTAGGCGCTGAGTCTTGCTGCTTTCTCAGCATTTACTTCTCAGGTGTTATTTTAGGCATTTTAAAGAGCATAAACAGATATTTTGAATGGTTTCTAAAAAAATTACATATTCCATCATGTAGTGAAGGTTACTTTTTCTTAAAAAAAAAAAAAAAGATAATGTAAACATACTCCTCATCATGCTACTTCTACCAGTGAACAGTTACTAAGTTTATGGAAATAAAAAGGCCCTGGGACTAGACACCGTCTGGAAGAAAGAATCATAAGATACAAAAAGGGGCAGAGCAAAAGATGAATAACTGAATTGGGAAAAGTGACTTTAAAAAAGTCCTAAAATGCAATCGATCCATAAGAATACATGTACTGAAAAAGACCCATGGTCAGTGTATCCCAGTGTCCTGTCCCTGGCAATGAGCAGGCGTTGGGTACTTAGGGAACAGCATAAAAACAGGTTAAACATACAGTGGTACTTGCCTGGTGTGCTCTCTTAGCATCTAACAATTTGTGGTTCCAAGATTTCCTAATCTTGAGGTAATATCTCTGATTAATAGCCATTCATGGTTTTTCTGCCCACCCCCCCTTCTCTGAATTTTTCTAATTACTTTTTGAACTCATGTAAATTTTGGCATCTGCAACATCCTGTGGCAATTAGTTCCAGAGTTTAACTACACAGTGTGTGAAAAAGTACTTCCTTTTGTTTGTTTTTGAGCCACCTGCCAGTTTCATTTTGTTCCCTTTGCTTCTTGCACTGTGAAAAACATTCAGTAATCTTTCTCTATTTGTTTTGTGCCACTCATGACTTTATAAATGCTTATGTTACCTTCACTTGCTTTTTGTTTTCCTGGCTTGAGAAGTTGTCATCTGTGTAGTTACTCCTTGCATGGACATACATTTTGTGGTCTCAGTCAGCCTTGCCACTCTTCTCCCATTATTTTTGTTCTGCTAAACCCTTTTTGAGATGAAAGAACAGAACTGCACACCATATTTGAAATATATCAGTGTTATGGATTTATACAGTTGCATCATGATGCTTTCTGTTTTATAATTTGATCTTTTTACAGTAATTCCTTGTGGTCCATTTTCTTTTTTGCCTGCTGAGCAGTGAGCTGGTGATGGGTGCACTGGACCTAAGTAGCAGCCAGTTCAGAGCCCATCAGCCTGAACTGGTTTTTCCATGCCATGTTTTTTAAACTGTGAATATGTAGGCAAAAGAATTTGGTTTCAAGATAAACAATAACTTTTCTGCTGTTTTGTTTTTAACACAAATAATAGAACAGTAATTTCAGCAGAAATACTCAATAGTTCTGTGCAAAATTGTAGACTACTTTTTAACATGCAATTTTTTTTTCCACCTTGAGCTCCCAGTGAAAGGCTTCCCAGAACTACCTAATTGTTTCCAGAATTCCACTCTGCTGGACTTGCGCTTTTTATATTAAGGGCCAAAGCAAACTTCCTCAATCGTGTGAACTTTGTGCAGTAATTAAGTTGCTGTACAACTTTCCAACAGGAGATGGCAATGAATGGCCGTTCTAGGAGGAGTGGGGAGATGAGTGCAGCAGAGCTGGTGCCAAGCCTCCCATCTCTGGTTACTTTTTCTTGCTTTTTTGATGCATCAGCATGGCTTAGGCAGTGGACATTGGTTTTTTGGATGTTAGTTATTTTCCTCTGAGAGGAAGATGCACTTGCTGAGCCCTGTCCCTTTTGTTTTCAACTATGTTTGTTTGTAGGGCACATAATTTATAAAGATTGTAAGGGATGGTCATTTTTTATCAGTTACACGCTTCTCATTAGCAACTGCATAGAAAGTAGTAACCTTGTTATTAAAAAGCTGTCATGGACCGAATGCTTCAATAATTTTGGGAAGGAAACAGGATCTTGCAGTGTCCAAAACGTTAAAGATATTCATATT